AAGGCCTAGCTTATTTAGGTGGGCAAAAGAAAATAAGACCCTGTCTTATTTACAGGGAAACACAATAATTGTGAGAAAACATTGTGGAGAAAGAGCCGTACTATATACTAACGTGAACTTCCTTTTGTCAAATGTTTAATATGCAGGTACTCCTTGGGTTACATAATAAATTGCGATTGGGATTGCTGTCACTAAGTGATGCAGTCTAAAGCAAGGTGGGATAGGGAGCGCTGCTGGAGATGGGAGAGACTGGGGCAGGGTCAGTGAAGCCATGTTTGAGTGGGAGAAAGAGTAGGAATGACATATTGGAGTGACTTGTGACCTTCCCTGCTGGCTTCCACATTGACTTCGCTTGGTGGGGAATGACAATCATGTCTCCACAGCTTCTTGCAACATCATAATCATGAACTGAGCATCTGGATTGCAATCACATATGCTGGTGGGGGAGAGATGCTGTGATGCTAGATTAGCAGTCCCCAATCTTTGGGGCTTGGTGGGCCACCTGGGGGAGAGGAGGGAGCTGCATACACGCATGTGTTCACCAGCCTTCTGCTTGTGCACCCCGGCCCGCCACTTGGACAGCCCGGTTGAGACTAGGCCGATATTAAATTGTGGCCAGGGGGTTGGGGACCCCCTGGGTTAAGAGGACTGGTCATAGGTCCATTTTTTTCCAGCACTGCCAGAACTTTGGGTGCTGAGCGAATGGACATAAATGAGGACATGTAATAAAATGTGATGAACTGTATTTTCTTTTGGGAGGACTTGTTTATTAACATTCAATGAAAAAATCAGAGTGAGGCATGCTGGTAGGTTTTCTCATTACTGTATAGGTAGGTCAAGGATTACAACCACAAATGAGACCAGAATTTGCATTATAAGTCGCATGGCTGTAAGTCAAGTTGGACCCAAAATTACAACAATGTTTATGGTAGTCACTAAGAGAATCGTCACAGTCATTAATCAAATCATGCAGTTAATAAGTGAATTCAGTTTCCCCAATGGATGTTTTTTTTTGCTGGAAATCGCATTGTGATCAGATCACAACAGGATGCTGAAACTGGTTGTAAATACAGACTGGTTGCCAAGCCCTCAAGTTGTGATCATGTGACCATGAAGGCGATGTGATGGTTTTAAGCTTGAGCACAAGTGATAAATCACTTTTTCTAAGGCCACCATAACTTTGAACTATAACAAATATACTAAGTTGTTGACTGCTTGTAGTCAGAACTTGTGAATAAGCATTCTGTAGGGAAGTGTTTTTAAAAAACTTAGCTTGTTTATTGTCTTTTTGGGGACAGTATACTGCCTGCTTCCCCGCTCCCCCCCAAAAGTGGCAAATTGAGCATTTTTTTGAACCAGAAAAACTGCAAGTTGTCTTTGTTTTCTTCCTTTTGTCTGGGGAATAAGATTTCCCAAATAATTTTGAAATGTAGGAAGAAGTTATGAGAACTGGTCATGAACTTTCTGTATTTTGAACACTGGTTCAAGGTTGTTTCCTTGCAAAACTACAAGACAATTTCCTTTGTAATGGAGGAAAAAACATATTTTTATTGGTTTTTCCAAAAGCTTCTACAGTTCTAAGATAAAAGGGAAATGAAAAAGCACACATTGATTTCTGGGATGAAGTCCTATTTTACTCAAGTGATAAGTTTTTCATGCCTTTTTAAAGAAGAATTTCAGCTGCTGCCAATTTTAAGTTGTATCTGTTGAAGTCCTCAGCTAAGGTAGCACCAGGATTTTCTGCTTAGAAATGGAATTTGTTTATTTTATTTTCATAATTACATGCTTTGTTCCATAGTCAAAAACCAAAGAATTCAATAAAATCTCAATAAAAATAATTGTAATAAAAACATTGAGAAGAGGGGCTGCTTTTTGTAATGTGTTCTAGATCTAATCAAGACTAAAATGACAACCAAAACATTTATTTACTTAAACATAAGTAATTAGGAATTGCTGCTATTCAAAAGTTTTTAAAAGTCTATCTTGAATAGAGCTAATAACTTCATGGATAAAATCCATGTAGAAATACTTAATGATTTATAGCTCCTTGCAATCTGACAACTCATAATGACACATACAATATAAAGAAAAATTAAAACATCTATATGGTATCTTTGTGGTTGCTAAGAGTTGTTAACACACAATCACACAATGATACATTTAAAATTACACTGTAATCAGAAAATCAATCGACACCAAGAGATTAAGATCAAAACATATTTTGATCTTTTAAGTATGATAGTTATATTTATATTAATCATCAATATGGATATAAAATATGGGCAATATACAGCATCAATGGAAGCCTCTCCAAAATATCTCAGTTGCCATTTTAAATTGAATGTGAATTTTTTTTTATTTAATTAATATCAACTAGATATTTTGGAGAGACTTCTAGAGATGCTATGGATTGCCCATTTTTATATCTGTATTGATACTTTATTTGTTATTTGTCTGTCATACTTAGTTGAGTGAGTTCAATTTCCTAGAGGCTATTAGAGAGGGGCCGGTCTATTCGCCACCAAAGAAATAGTCGAAAGCAGTCAAACCATTATGAGGAGCAGTTCCTTTTTTTCTTTGGCTCTCCTCACCTCCTAAAAATATGGAACTAGAACGGGTTTCTCTCTTTTTTTAAAAAAAATATTTTTTTATTTTTACTGTATAAAAAGAGAGCAACAGTTTCAATGTCTATATAAAACAGTGTGTTGTCTGGTTACAGTTAATTTGAGCAATAGTCATCATCATAATAGAGGAACGCGGTGGCTCAGTGGCTAAGACACTGAGCTTGTCGATCAGAAGGTCGGCAGTTCAAATCCCTAGCACTGCGTAACTGAGTGAGCTCCCGTTACTTTTCCCAGTTTCTGTCAACCTAGTAGTTCGAAAGCAGGTAAAAATGCAAGTAGAAAAATAGGGACCTATTTGGTGGGAAGGTGACAGCGCTCCGTGCGCCTTCGGCGTTGAGTCATGCCGGCCACATGTCCACAGAGACGTCTTCAGACAGCGCTGGCTCTCCGACTTAGAAACAGAGATGAGCATTGCTCCCTAGACCCAAAAACGACTAGCTCGCATGTGCGGGGGAACCTTTACCCTTAAATAATAACAATAACAATAATAATGTTCATTAGTAGTGATCATATAACAACAGTATTTTCTCATAATATTAATATGTAATTGTTGATATTAAATCATATTAATAATAAACCTTATAGTGAAATTAATCCTTTTCTTACAAGATATGGAATATTTTGAAACATGGGGTTCATTTTATCAATGGTTAAATAATAGAAACAGAAGTTAGAACATTTCGAATGGGTTTCTCCTTGAGCTGTCTCCTAAGATGGGCTGATTCAGGTTAGAAGTCTCTTGGAAGCAACATTGAAATGGCTTGCAATTGATTCCCCCCACCCCATCATATTGTTTCAACTGATATTGCGTATAATTCAGGTATTAAAATTAAGTCATTTATTTTATTTTATTTAGAAATTTTATATTGCCACCTCCACGCACATGACGACTCAAAGATATAAAAACACCGCATTAAAAAATAAAAAAATAAAAAAATAAAACACTAAGCTTTTTGACACCAACCAAGTATGAAAAAGACTTGGTAAGGATCCCCCCACCTTCCTTAATCAAGCGGCACTTTCAGAATGCTTTGAACCGCATTAACAGCAAGAGATTTGTCAGTGAAGCAGAGAAATCAGTTGGGCTGAAGCAGTTTGTGGGGGTTTGTTTGTTTGTGATTCTGGTTATCTTCTTTAAATCTCTAGGTTGATTGGTTAAGCCCAGCAGAGGCTTACAAAAGTTCCGTGATTAATCTTTCAATGGCAGTGAAAGAAACAAGGCAATAATCAGCCTGTTGAAAAAAAATGGAGGTTCTTTTCTAAATTTTGGCAATACAAACTTGGGAGGTGGGGGCTTCCTTGATCGTAAAAAATGAAATTGGGCCATATGGGGCCTGTGGATTGCCGATCCTTTCTCCAAAATAGAAGTTCAAAAAGAGCAGCTTGGGAACCACATGAACAAAACCAGATATTTGTGCTGCGTTTTGTGGAGGAAAGGTTGTTGCTATGGGTCCCCCCCCCCCTTTGCATTTTGTGAACGAAAATGGTGGGCGGGGAGTCCTTTGCAGATTCACTTTGGGTTCTGGTCCCACCCATTTTAGTTGTCCAGCGTATGGCAAGCATTCAAATATGATGGGGGCAGATCTGAAGGTAACTTTTAGCTTAACCTCTCTTTGGAGAAGAGAAAATTCTGCAGTCTGAGCTTAATTGTAGAACAAATTCTGTCTCATCTCGTTTTCTGCTGAATTTCTGCTTCAAAGTTCACCGGTGGAAGAGCCTGTGATGATAACCATAAGCTGTAAACAGGCTTGTATGTGCACAAGTATCCCTTCATATAAGAGAGGATAGTGGAAGGAATTCTGGTGACCACTGCGGCTTTTCACAACTTAAAAAAAATTAGCAGAAGCCAAATAAAGTAGTTCAAGAGACATATATAGCTTATGGTACCCTTTATTTAAGGGGACGGGATGGCTCAGTGGCTAAGATACTGAGCTTGTCGATCAGAAAGGTTAGCAGTTCGACGGTTTGAATCCCTAACACTGCGTAATGGAGTGAGCTTCCGTTACTTGTCCCAGCTTCTACCAACCCAGATGTTCAAAAGAACATAAAAATGCAAATAGAAAAATAGGGACCACCTTTGGTGGGAAGGTGATAGCGTTCCATGCGTCTTCTGCATTTAGTCATGCCGGCATTTAGTCATGACCCCGGAAACGTCTTCGGACAGCGCTGGCTCTTCAACTTTAAAACGGAGATGAGCACCGCCCCCTAGAGTCGCGAACAACTAGCATGTGTGTGCAAGGGGAACCTTTGCCCTTTACCCTTTATTTAAAACAGTGTTCTTCTTTGATTAGTCACTCTTTTATTTGTAAAAGGAAACTATTTGTTCTCAGGGACAATATTGATTAGGTTATATATGTTTTTTTGCCTTTGCTGCAGAAAAAAAGAAGCTTTACTTCATGGCAAGGAGTAATATCCTGCAACAGAAATTGCCCCCCAAACTGGGCAGAAGGAATCTTCATAAATTGTGACGTGCAGACCTTCAATCAGATTTTGCTGAAATGGGTTATACAGCTCGCAGTTCAGTCCTGGGATTTATTCTTAAGTAAGTATATATAGAATGGAAACTTCATTAAGTAAACAATACAGTGTGTCAGTCGTGTGTGTGTGTGTGTGTACAGCATATATATATGTGTGTGTGTGTGTGTGTGTGTGCAGCATATGTATGTATGTATGTATGTATGTATGTAAATACAATACATATATATGTATATATGTATATATGTATGTGTATACATAC